GGGTGTGTTTGGGTGAGTGGACGGACGGGGTGGCGGTCTGGCGGCTTGGTGGCTTAAACAGGGGGGGCACAGGGCGTGACGGTGGGAGGGGTGGGTCGCAAGGGGGAGCTCTCGCGAAGAAGAAGTGGGATCATGCGGCTGCTGGGGCAAAGGAGGTGTAGACTTATGGGGGTGAATGAGAGGGCAAGAGGGGATGAGGATGCTGAGGGGGCAGGCCAACAAGTAGGCGTTTGAGGGGGGGTAGATGGGATGGGTACAGCTGAGAAGAGGCCAGCTCTTGCAGGCGGCAGGGAAGATATGCGTCATAGGCTTGTTTACAGCCTCATGGGTGACAATCCATCCAGCAATCTGCCCCCGAACAGCATGCCCCGGCCCAGACGCAGCCTTTTCTGACCTCAAAGAACAACGCCCGCGCGCCCCCTGCGCTGCCGTATCCGCCCCCTGGCGGCCCGCGCGGCTTGGCGCCCGCCCCCTCGACCGCGTCCGTCACCCAGCGGCCCGCGGGACTTTGCGCGGCCCGTGTGCGTCACCCGCGGCCGCCCACCTGGCTGTACGTGAAGTTCCCGACGAACCCCGGGAGCGCGCCCTCGCCCCTGGCCTGCGCGCTGATGCCCGTGCCGGCCCCAAGCCCGCCCGTCTTTCGCTCCACCAAGTTGATTGTCAGGTCCACCTGGGGGTGTTGGGGTTGATTGCGGCGCAGCGCGATCGCGGTCAACACTCAACCACCTCGCAGTCAAACGCCCTGGTAACTTTGCATGGCGCCAGGTCAAAGATTAATTCAAAAACCACAGCTGTGAGGGTTTTTCTAGACCGGGAAGTCCAGCGGACAGCTGGGAAAGTCAGGGTTTCGAAAGGCGCCCCTTGCACTTCCCTATGCCGCCCGCCCCCACCTTGGGGTTCTCCTCGGTGCTGTCCTCTGCCTCCTGGGGCAGCATGTTGACATCATCGTACAGCCCGGTGGAATATATAGAGTCAATGTCCGCCTTGGCCTGCGACAAGGGGACCATCGCCGGATTGGAGCACGGGGGATTTGAGATGGGGTTTATGGGTTGAAGTTTCAGGGATTTCAAATTGTATGTGTGAGACTACGTGGAGGTGTTGCATTTTGTGAAATGATGAATAAATCTGTATGGCGTCCTCGTCCGCTTTCCATTGGTTCAGCCGGTCCCCTAGACGATTTGCTTCAAAGCAGCAGCCTCGCAATTGGTGCATCGGAGGGCGCCTGCCAGCCGCACACGCCCTTGCCAACGCTCACGCTGCACAAATGCAAGCGCATGTACGTTTACACG